ATCTCAAATCTCACCTCACGATTTAAACTCGATACGATCTCTAAACGTATCATCAAAACATATGCCAACAATAAATATTAAATAATCCCTCAAGCAATATACTAACATACAATATAAAAGCTAATTTGAACAAAAATAAGAAATTTAAAAAAATTTGCTCGACTTTTAGCTCTTGATCTTTTTAGGAAATTCATAAAATTTTTAAGGGAACTATTTTATTTCCTCGTAGCCGTGACAAATAAATTCTTACCATTTTATCTCAAACGTATGAAAAAAAAAACAGTTGCGAAAAATCTTACAGCGGAAATAACATCAAAAGAAGTCTACTGTGTTCTACAGTGTAAGAATGAAGACTAGCTAGAACTTGATCAGTTCATAAGAGCCTTCAAGTGGGTTCGATAGCTCACGTCGGCGAGTTTGAAGACTATTCTTTTTGTATTGGAAAAGTGTCGTCGACCCTCCACTGACGTTGCATTGAAGAACGTCAACTTGTTCGCGAAAAAAAAGTCAAGTATAGACTCTTAAGTTGATGTTGAAGATAAGCTATAGTATTTTTTTTCGTCAAGTTTTTTACCTTCAGTATATATATGCTCATATACACTAAGGTATAACTTTGCCCCTTATGTACACCTACATACTATTTTTTTCTACATACATATATTACATATAACTAAGCTTATGTTGAGTAGCATAAAGTATATTATTTTATTTATGGGAGAGATAAAACCACATACATGAACCTCAGTAAGTGGAAATATCTCAGATCCCATACATTCTTATTCTCTTCAGGCTTGGAATGCTCAGAATTAGAAATTATAAAAGTATTGTTTTAATACTAGAAATACTTTATGAAGACTTTGCACTAAGAGAGGTCAAGTTAAGTGAACTTTGTACAGGAAGTCAGTTTAAGGCTCAGAAATCATTTTTCCCCCCTTCATTTATAATTATTTATCAAGAAATTCATTTATAGAAAAACTATTGAGAGAGAAATCATTTCGAATATCAATTCCAATGTATTTTCCTCAAGTTTTCCTAAAAAATAATAAAGTTTTACATGCCATATATTTAATAAAATGTTGAAAAAATATTATACTATTTTCTTTCTTCTCTTTCTAATGATGTTTGATCTCAGAACATAAATGTTTTATGTTCAGAAGAAAATAACTATTTATTTATAGCTAATAAAAAAATATTTTTTCAATGATTTTAGAAAATTTCTTTTTTTTATTTACTACTGACAATATATCACTACTTGTTTATGATTGACAATATCCACTTTATTAAATAAAAAATATCACCCTTCATAAAAAAACCCCTATCGATTTTAAATCATTATTTTCAATTTCTCCCTTAAATTGGAACATGTTCTGCTATTGATACTTTTATCTCACTATAAATCGAAGTTACTTTGCGGTTTGTGAAATAAAAATCAACAGCTTAGGTGAAAAATTTATTTAACTTCCTTAAAGTAAGAAATAAAATAACTCAAAAGTGCTATTCGACATAATAATAATAAAATACACGAAAATATGATACACAAAATTTTTTTTATCTCATATTCTACTCAATACTAAAAAAGTATTCACAGAGGTATCTAAGGTAGTATCAAATATTATTGATTTACAAGGTATGTAGTTTGACTTGTATGAAGATAGAATGTATGTCGTCGCAATATTTGCCAATATCACTAACAGACAAGCCACAGTAGAAGATTTTCATGATGTGGAAAATCCATTGAGTTTATATCATCTATATTTACTACAAAGTTATCTGAAAATTCAATTATTAGATCTTTTAATTGAATCAAAACTCAACTAGTAACACTTGTTTGTCAATGATTTAATATTTTTATATCTTTTGACTATATCATATCAACAATAGTTTAAAATCAAAAAAAGTATTTTACTAAAAAAATGATAACAATTCATCATCAATCTGATCAAATTTATGTAAAATCTTATCATGTGATACTAAATCAGATATTGAAAGATGGGCTATTTTCATCAACCCCAAAGGTCAGTTCAACCCTCATCAAGTCAATGATTTTTTTTTATTGACTCCTAAATATTTCTAATAAATAAAATTTCCAAAACCTCACCATAAAAGGCGGGAAAGTTTGAAAATATGTTAGATCTAACTGAAAAGACTTATGTCCTTATCGATCTGAGTATGATAGTTCTGTTACCTCTACAACCAAGTGAAATCGAGCCGCGCATGGCTATCACGTCGGCTTTTAATTCCGTCATGACGCCCTCATCGTCAGCACGAAACAGGGAAAACCCTTCGTACAGCTACCTAGTGCCGCCGCGATAACACAGTGCTCTTTATTTTTTTCCTGCTATTCATTTCCCCAATGTACAATTTTATTTTTAATTTAAATTTAAACTTCCCAGTCAAAATTTTATTTTCAATTACGTGAATAAAATCTAAGTACATTTTTCAAATGGCAATGACGTCAAGTGGTTACGAAAATTAATTGCGTAGCTACAAGTAACAAGTATAAGTGTAAATCAGTGGATGACTGCAGCTAGTTTCCATCAAAAACAATTAAGAGAAACTCTGACCTACATTATTATTATATTGGGTTTTAGTGCCACGCCCAGAAGTTATTTGGATTTTCTCACCCGTATGTAATAAAAATTTTATTACAAAAAAAATTCATTATTGAATTGGTAGTTTGAACGTCAAATTCATGAGTGACGAATCGCTTACAGGTGGTATTACCACAACGAAAATAGCCATATCCACACATACACACACCGTTTACACACGATCGTCTGCACCAACCTCAGTATTGCATGCAGTCATGCGCGAACGAATAGAGATTCATGCAAATTATACTCCCTTTTATTTTGTATATACTTTTGTTGAGTTTTTCCTTATTTCAAAAATAACTCTACAAAAGCAAGTGATTACACATAAATACTATTATGAGAAAAATTAGCACAAAAAAACTCGTTATAAATTTCTATTAAATGCCATTTATTTCTTTTAAAATTATTCAATTTTCTTTTTAATTGTTCGCACTGTTGATCAAAGCAGTTTACGTTTGATTATTATCATGAAGATTGAATAGAAAAAAAAGGAAAAGAAATGAGATGTTCATTATGTGATGAGAATGATTAAATATACCGATTTGATCTATATTTATTTAATAATAGTAATATAAAAATGTTTTAATTATAAAAATGGTTGTGATAGTTAATTATATTTTCCACCAAATTATTCATCAAGTACTACTCAAATAATATGAATACATCAAATGTCAATTATTTTAGAAGAATGTCTAGCTAAATCTTCAAAGAATCTGCTTATCAATTATGTACCCTCAGGTTCTTGCCTTCACTGTTACTCTACAAACATTTTTTATTGATTTTCATGAATTTCCATTTTTTGCTGTATTTATTTATAAAAAAAGTCGATATCTAGTTTAATAATAATATTATCATAAACATCATCAAAATTGGTTATTCATAAACTTCTTAGCTGGTCTATTATTCATACTATCTGTAGAAATCTGAGAAACTTGTCAATATCAAGTTTTATCAACATCTTTTTGTGCTATAAATAACTGCTTATCATTGAATTTTTGAAAATCTTCTACTGGGTCAAGGTCAAGTGAATAAGTTCAATAATATATAGAAAAAAAATGTAGCCAAGAATACAAATCGAGTTACTTGATAGTAGATATTAAATTTAAAACAAAAGATGTTTTTTAATGGAGAAAAAAAATTTAATAAAAATATTTCAAAGTAAATATTTTCATGTTATTCTTGAACTTTATTCAATAGAAAGAGGAACAAAAAGTCTGATGATTAATAAGATGAAGTAATTATGTTCCATTTGTTGATTAAGTTTATGTCTATACTTGATGTAATGTCACGCTAGATGAATTATTACTATCTAATTTATCTTGTTTTAAGATAAGTAATTACATTTAACAACAAAAACGGCCATTAATAGCAGTATAATCACATTAATGACTTACTTGAAGTAAACTAACTAAAAATAGACGTTTAGAAAAAGCAAGTTAATTTGTCGTAGATTAAATTTTCGTTTTATCAGCATATAGTGCTATTAGCACTACACCTATGTGTTCAGAATTGTATTGGTCCTATTTTCCCACATGTAATGAAATGTTATCAAATGGATTCGCATGCAGGCAGACAACCCCTTACCTCACGTTGTGTCACATAACATCGTTTAACGTAACGTTAATGAAGTTTCGTTCATTTATGTGAGTAGGTAAATGACCTATGCTCGTAACGCTCGATTTAGCAACTAATTTAGAGAGTCTCTTTGACCCGAAATATTGGAGCATTATATAGTATACTCACTAAATAGTATTTGATACTAAATGAGAGAAAACAACCTGAACTGATATACAGCTAATTATAACTCAATAAATTATTATCATTTTTCTATCTCTACTGTATTGGTTTTCGTTTAGCTTTTCACAGCTTTTTTAGATATTACGTCAATTATCTCTTTTAGCAAGTTTTTTTCCTTTTCATTCACTTGCAATAGATAAACTTTACTCAAAGTTATATCAATCACTAATTATGAGTATTGCCTACATATAGAAATGATATCACAAATTATTCAAAAATATTATAAATATTCTAATACCTTCTTTTTTCTATCTATTTTTCAATCATTTCTACCATTGATTACAGATTCTCTATTTATTAAACATAATATTCCATGTGAAGTATTTTATGATGTATTTTTAAAAAATGTATTCATCATTGAAATTCGCTTTTAAATTTGACATTTTAATTAAAGTATGATCTTGTATTTAAAAAAATACATTTATATGAATGTTAATATTCTGATTAACTAAATACAAGTAATATAAGAGAAAATAATTGCTATGGCTGATGTAGCTGTGGGAACAACCTGTTGCATATAGAAATGAAATGGATATTGTTTTACAGCTGTTAAAAGATTTTTTTGTTTTACTTCGAGATAGTAATATTTTTCCTCTCTTATTATTACAGAGAAGTACGCACAGTGATACTCAACAAAGGATCATCGGGATTAGGATTCAATATTGTTGGAGGAGAAGATGGGGAAGGAATCTTCATTTCCTTTATTTTAGCTGGAGGGCCTGCTGATCTAAGTGGAGAACTTCGTCGAGGGGATCAGATTCTTAGTGTCAATGGGATTAATCTTAGAACTGCCACCCATGAGGAGGCTGCGGCCGCACTCAAGGTAATAATTATCTAACTATTTATCCTTTATTCAATCATTTATTGATAATAATTAAAATATATCATAAAATATCCATTATTTTATCATTTAAATTATTTTTCTAGGGTACTGGACAAACTGTCACCATTGTAGTACAATATAAACCTGAAGATTACAACAGGTTTGAAGCTAAGATCCATGATCTTAAACAACAAATGTCTCAACAGAATTTAACAACAGGTACACTAATGAGGACTTCACAAAAGAAATCTCTGTATGTCAGGTACGATGTCATGAATTAATTTCATTTTATGGTACAAGAATGTAAAACTAATTTCAGGTTTATAGGGGTGCATACATCTGGGTGCTGCTGAAGCATCAAAAAATATTCTTTACAAATTAAAGACCTACACCCTAGACCTATTTTTAGTGAAAAACTGATGACCTAAGTGATATTTTTCAGACGTAGAATGACTTGAAATCTAAAAAAGACAAACTCTATAACTAGGTCAATATTCATATTGATCAATAAAACTGATGGTTATCATATATTATGACCTAAAAATAACAACAATTAATTACAAGTTTTTCATGTAATATTCTGTTTCTTCAATTAATAATTGATGATGTTGAATTACAGTAAACTTGAATGAGTCGTAATAGTAATTATGACTACTCATTCGATCATTAATTTCTATTTAGTAACTTCTCCCATTTTATTTTTAATTTCTAATATCAATCATATTTTTCTTAAATTATGCTAAAGTCAATTTATATAATTATTATTCTCCCAAAAAGTTAATGAAAAAAACTGTCAGCTCTTTTCCTAGCCAACCCTCTTTTGACTATCCTGCTTTAAAAGCACTTCTTTATTCAAATCAATTATTCTTTACTCCCTAGATGTATGCATCCCCTCAGAAATCAAAGGCATAATCACAAGCTTGAAATGGAAACCACAAAAGAAAACTCATGCGAAATTTTTTTTGAACAGAGCTTTGTTCGAGTACGACCCCAATAAAGATGACGGTTTGCCTAGTCGTGGTCTTGCTTTTCGTTATGGAGACATACTTCACGTAACGAATGCCAGCGATGATGAATGGTGGCAAGCAAGAAGAGTCACCCCTCAAGGTGAAGAAGAGGGGTTAGGAATAATTCCTTCACGTAGACGTTGGGAACGGAAACAACGTGCTCGTGATCGTTCAGTTAAATTCCAAGGCCACATGCCGGTCATATTAGATAAGGTAATTAATTATATTCAAAATTACTGTGATATTTTGTTCGATAACTGCTGCTTTGCTAGACTATAAGGAGTGTCATCTTTTATCCTTACATTAAATAACTAATTAATTGTGATGAATAATTAAACCCTAGCTGTTTCTCGGTCAATGACTAATCATTTGATGAAATATTAATTGCCATGCTTAAAATAACTCAATATTTTATGCTATACTTAGTTCTTATTTACAATCAAGACTTCCTAGTGATTTACCTTCAGGGCTTGGTAATAATTCATAGCAAGAAACTATCATAATCATTCGTTAATAATATTAATAATAAAAATGATCTGTAAATAATTTTTATTATCAGTATTTAGTTTTAATTTTTTAAATATTTAAAATTGTTATTAATACTGCTATTTTTAATACATTTCTTTTCTTATTCTTTCGTTAAAGCTATCGAATAATTTAAATGCAATATTGGATAATGAGGTAGATTTATTAAAAAAAATGTTCAAATACTTTTTGAATGAATTTTTTTATAAAATTTTTCATAATATATTCTATTCTTTCTATTCTATTATTCTTTCATATTTTGATCAGTATTGAAAAATGATTCATTTATTTTTCCAGCAATCAACACTCGATAGAAAGAAGAAAAACTTTTCATTTAGTAGAAAATTTCCATTTATGAAGAGTAAAGATGATAAATCTGAAGATGGTTCAGATCAAGAACGTAAGTATTTTATATTCTACTTAATTATTGATGGATAAAAATTAAAATTAAAGTAAAATAAATATGAGCCTTGCACGTACGGTTCCTGCACGTTCGGTTTAATCCATATGTGTATTTGTTTCACGATGTAATTACACCACTTAATGGTTTTTAATATAAATCTAGATATTTTCAATATTGCATATTAAAAAGAATATTTTAAAAGTATAATTTTTCTACAAAACAAAAAAAAATTCCCCTATAAATTTTTAAAATATTGTAACATGTTATATGTAATATCTTGTACTTCATATTATGATAGAAATTAAATATTTATTTTTATTTATATTAAATAATAACTTGATATTGTATTGAACAAATGGCAAGAACCGCTGTGACAATATATGCCAACGTATATGACCTCCCGAATGAGCTTATTTGTGTTTTACTTGTGATACGTGACATGTCTTTTGTTTTGCCTGCTTGTGTAGGGTCGCCCACAACACCTGAGAATGAAAACGATCCTACTCGTAAGTATTTTATGTACACCATTTCATCCATATGCTCTCTTTCCCATCAGCTTAATCATTTTGCATCATTCAAACGCCTTTGTATCCTCATCAACTTACTTTCTATTTTTTACTCGACTACTTTCTAATATTTTTCAATGTTGTGATATTAAATTAACAATGTTTTCAATAATTAACCGAATTAAAAACGAATAAAATAATCAATTTGATTGTTATTTAAAAATATTTTTTAAATTATGTAATTTTTTGAATAATTAATACGTTTGAGTTTGAATTAACTGTTTTTCTCTAAATTTAAATTGATTTATAATAATGGTAGTATTATTCAGAGAAATTAATTAATGGCTATCATTCAATTTTTATTTCTTTTCGATAAATCATATTTATTCTGTGTAGACAGATAAATTCAATAATATAAATAATTGATTATATCTTGAGATGACAATAGATATTATACTGAATTGCCAATGTACTGTGTTCTAGCATTCATGCTGTGCTATACCCAGGACGACACTAATACCGAAGGTAATCACATCTCTCATCAATTGCATTCTGCTACAATATTTTTAAACAGATTAAAGTCCTAAATCTTTTTTCAACTCACTCTCAGATAGAAAAAAATTCTCTAACATGAATTAAGAGTTTACTCTAAAATTAATAATCTATCGAAAGAAAGCATTCATTTTTTAACAAAAAAATTTTTTCAATCCATCACAGTAATTTTTCTTTAGGAAATTGATTTTTCTTAAAGATGACTGTTTATTTTTAAAAAAAAAATTTAATTGGAAGTAATATAAAATTCCTTTGATTTTCTTATTTCGTAAAACAATCTACCGAGCAATATCTCACATAGCTAAAATGCTTCTGTAATTGTCTAATTTAAAGTGAAATTATTTTTTTATCTATATACTGTGTTATGTTTTTTTTTGTTTATCAATTGATATTTTTATTTTTATACGTTAATTTAATCGCACTAGCTCTATTTTCTCATCTAATTTAATTAAGATTTATCATCCGCCGCAGGGAGTAGAGAAATTTTATATCGCGTTGAACTGCCCTATATGGAAGAACTGACCTTAGTTTATCTGGAAAAGGAGGGTGATGAAAATGTTGATGAACTTAGTAAGTTTAATGTGTGACAAATCAAGTGTGACAAATCGATTTCAACAAATAAAAACTAATACCAAATGAAAATATAATGCTTATAATATCATCATAATACCGAAATTTATCAAACTGAATTTAAAAAAAAAAAACATGTTCATTAGATAGTTATATCATTGAACAAATTGAGACACACCGCCCATATGAGACAAATGCGGCGTGCATGCCACGAGTGATTTTTTTTTAGAAAATATTAAAAGTAGTTTAAAAACCAAGTGAAATTAAACTGCGTTAATATAGAGCATAGTTAACTTTTACATTGCAAAACCTCCTTATTACAATCTGTAGAAATTAAAGTTAAATTAATAAAATAATTTATTAATCTTATAGTCCTCCAACAAAAAGAAACAATCATCAGCTAAAAGTGTATAAAAAATGATCATGTGTGCTAACAATTTTTTTGTAATTTTTATCAAAAAACATTTAAATAAGAGTGTTCGTTTATTTTTTTAGGTAGCGAAGAAACTGTCCTGTCTTATGAACCCGTTCAACAATTAACTATTCAGTATACACGCCCAGTAATTATTTTGGGACCGCTTAAAGACCGTATTAATGATGATCTGATTTCTGAATTCCCTGATAAATTCGGAAGCTGCGTACCACGTAAGTTTTTTCAACTTCTATTACTGAAATTGTTATCAAGAATGCTATGTACTTGGATCAAAAATCTTTTCTATGTTTTTATAGTTATTAATTATTTTGAACGATATTCTATCGATAGATTGCTATCGATAAATCGATTAATTATTTAAATTCATTACTAAAGATACGACAAGGAGTAAACGAGAATACGAAGTCGACGGACGAGATTACCACTTTGTGGCATCGAGAGAACAAATGGAACGAGACATTCAAAATCATTTATTCATTGAAGCTGGCCAATACAATGACAATCTTTATGGTACTTCTGTAGCTTCTGTTCGGGAAGTCGCTGAAAAGGTAAACTATCGATCGCATAATATATTTTCCTACTTCATTTACATTTTTTTGACATATTCTTACATATCATTGCATATTACTGCACAATATTACATATACTGCTGCATACCATAACATCTTCATTCATATAGTCTTCATATTAGGTTCATTTTATTCATTTATTAATGTTTTTGTTCATCACAGGGTAAACATTGCATACTTGATGTTAGTGGTAATGCCATTAAGAGGTTACAAGTCGCTCAACTTTATCCAATTGCCATTTTTATCAAACCGAAATCAGTAGAATCTGTAATGTAAGTATTATTCTATTCATTTATAACAAATAAAAATAACTTCATTATCAAAAATAATTATTATTCTATTTGAATAAATATTTTTACAGGGAAATGAACAAACGAACGACTGAAGAACAAGCTAAGAAAACGTACGAACGAGCATTAAAAATGGAACAAGAATTCGGCGAATATTTCACTGGTAAATCTATTTTCTAACTAAATTTATGATGGTTTAAAAAAAACAAATAAGTATGTGTAATTTTCATCTTTTTTATAGCTATTGTGCAAGGAGACACCCCCGAAGATATTTATGTTAAAGTTAAAGAAGTTATTGCCGAACAATCAGGTCCAAACATTTGGGTACCATCACGGGATCAACAACTGTGACGTCCTGCCCCCCACGCTCATCAGAATTCAAATGCTTGGACACTTCCTCCAAGGCGTACTGAATAATTACGCAGCTCATTGAAATAAGACATCTTTTTCCATGTTCAAGTAGTATAAGTCAATAGAGATGCGTCTATCAGTACTACGGTTAAATAGCGCGATTGAAGAAAATTCAAGAAATAAAAAAATTAAGTTATGATTATTGAATGGTTTCTCTTTGCGTAAAATTTTATAATCATAAATAAATTCATATATGACATTTTTAATTAATTTACATTGAAATTTGTAATGAAAGTGAGTTTTATTTCTACAATGCATGAAGTATGAACAATCCGAATAAGGAATAATAAATTTTCATCATCAATATAGATTCCATAATTGTAAATTACGATCGATGTAATTCGTAATTAGTTTGGTATTTTAATTTTTAATTAACTAAAAAAAATCAATCATGTCTCGAATAAATTTTATACATAATTATTAAATTGAATATATATATATAATAAATAATTTTTAAATGACGACAGATAAAATTTATGTTTGATTAAATGAAGCAAGTTTTATATTTGTTATGATCTTTTATGATTGAGTGAAGTGTTACGTTTAATCTTCATCAATGTACTTAACTGCTTATTGTTAAAGATATAGAGATAAAAAGTATGTTTTGCATTATGAAACGTATATTATCCAAAAAAAAAACATTGCGAAATGTATGAAAAAGTAGAAAAAGAAAAATGCCTGAGACAAAATAAAAAGTTATATCTATATACAAAACGGATTGAAAAATAGAAAAATGTGATGATGAGATAATTAATCGTACAATAAATAAAAAAATGAAAATAAATATATAGTATTGCAATTAAAACGCGCAATTTTATGATCCATCTGACTTTACAGGACAAATCGTTAGTATTAGAATAGTGATATATAATGTTTTGTACAGCTAGATAACTAAGCCAGTAATGGGTTACGTGCAACATTATATAGAACATAAAATAATATTGTAATTTAAATACCACTACTAATTTATTATATAAATAGTAGTATGAATTATTGTAAATACCTACGCCTGTATCGGAGTGAAAAGAAAATGGAGAAAGTATAAGGTCTGAATGTTAATCATAGTAGGCAGTATTTCTAAAATTTAACATTAATGCTATCTGCAAAATAAATTACCTTAATTGTTAAGTCTTAATTTGATTAAAATTGTTGAGAACGTTACAAACGTCAAGCGAATTCGAAATTATTCGATCATTTCAAGGAGATTTTCCTTAATGGATTTCCCTTGATTTGATTATTAGTTGCCTTTGCAAGATTGGATTATTGATTAAACTTAGTAAAAAATGAAAGGATAAAAAAGAGAATTCGATAAATCAATTAATTAAGTACACGATTGACAATGTGTTTTGCAAAAACAAAAACTGTACTTATGTTAAACGGATGTTTCTGTATTCAACAATTAACAAAGAAAAGAAACAGAACTAAAAACTGATGATAAAATAGGTTTTTAGAAAGTTTAAAAACAAAAATAATAACAGGCATGATATTATGGCAATTGTTTGTCAATTTAATTGTAAAATAATGAGATAAAATATAACTATAACTAAACAGTTATTTAGTTTAATTAAATAATCTGCGCAGTTATATGATATAATTTTCAATCATCTTAAATTAATTTGTTAATGCAACAAAAAACATTATTTCCTTCAATTTAAATTTCTATTTCCATTAAATAATCTTAACTTCATTAATAAACTTTTGTAAATGAATAACTTATATTTGTCATAAACATACTAATTTTATTGACTAAGTATTAATTAACAGATAACTGCAGCAGATTTTATGAGAATAAATATAACAATAAACTCAATAAAAATCGAGCACCACCGTGTTGACCTACAGGTTGTGCCTGGTAATGTAGGACGTCGTGATTAAATAATTAAGGCATCTATTTCAATGTAAAAGAACATATAAAGAGAAAATAATTACGGACACTTATTATACATCTCTATAGTCTATTTAATAATATTACTTATTGAATTATCAATCTCATGTTCACCTTGTTTCATCGTTTTTAAATAGTTAATAAACGTTTTACCAATTTTAAATACAATATTTACTATTTTTTTCATCCATTATTATTTAACCTTTAAAATAAAAATAAGTATGCCGTAGATTGAATCATTCAAGTAACTTAAATTAAATTTTACATAAATGTTTCTTTTTACAATAACAAAATTAATGTCAGGGTAAAAAATTATTAATCTTTCTTCCGACAATATAATAATTTATTACAAAATAATCAGAACAAAAAAAAGTGAGTTAAAATTGAAAATATTCAAGATAAGAAGTCCTAAATTTCGAAAATAAAATTAATCTTCCGATTAAAAACAATTTGATTTAAATACCAAAATAATTGGGGGAGACTACGGTTTCCGTGGCGCCGCGATTTTTTTTTGCCTCGCAAAATTGTTGTAACTTGGTACAATGTACTTGCAGGGTGATTTTTTTTCATTAAACGGTGCGGCCGAAGGCCGCCACCGGAGAGAACCCTCTAATTCTGTAGTCCAAAATTATGCCTATGTATAAGCCCATATAAACCCAAAATTTAAAGTATCAATATCTCGAAAACTAAGTGAGATATGAAAAAATTTTATTCTTCATTTTCGTCTTATTTTGGACTGTTCTATCGAAATTCATTATCATTTCGTGGCGCCACGGAAACCGTAGTCGTGCCAATAATTGTACCAATACTACTTCATGTTAAAAGGAATTACTCCGAATATCACATCGTTCTGTATCAAACAATTTCCAAGAATTATTTAAGGTCACGTTAGGTTAGAAAATGTTTTGATTTAATAACAAAGAATCATCGCATTTAATACCTTCCAATTCAAAACATTGCCGTATTTGATTCAATACAATGGAATTTTGCTAATCCGTAAAACCAAAACATTATGACGTCACGCTTACCAGTTATCGCGTCCTATTCGATGTACATATATTTTCCTACTAAAATTTAGAATAAAATTTGTACTCACCAATGACGACATTAACCCTTATGATCTGCTACAATGATTCTAATATGAGACAAAATTCTATAATGACGTCACGTGATAACACTCACAATAACTTTACACATTTAATCGTTATTACTGCACGTATTAACATTCTACAAAGGGCACCGCCATTTTTTCATTTAAATAAATCGCGTACAATTCAATAAATTTTACACAAATCTATTTATCGATTATAAAGGAATCATAAGAATGATTAAATTGCACAAAAAAGAATGCTACAACGAATAGTTTTAATTCATTGTAAAAAACGGAGTAGTTTCAAATTCATATTTACCTCACTACCCACCTGTTGAATAAATTCACAAAAACCTTTATATTCGTTAACAAATGCACTAAAATGAGACAAATAATAAATCAAATAATTTAAGAATGTAAATACACACGAAAAATGACTTGTAGAAACTTATTTTCAATACAAAATCTATATTGTTAAGAACATCATAAGACGCGTCTAAATACTGCGAATTCTCGAATGAAACTGAAAGTAGTCAACAAACAAATGCAAGCGAACGTGTTTCCCCCACTCTTTCCCGCCTCTTCTCGGAATTGCGTAATAAATTGCGCAGTAGCAAATAATTCGCAAAAATGTCTAAAAATAATTAAAAATTCATTTCTTAATATGAAATGTAATAATATTTTTGTTCTATTGAACCACAAAAATTACATTCAAAATGGACTCTCGTAAAAATATAAAAAATAATAACTGAACATCAACGCCAAAGCATCATGTCGATAGATTGCCTTCAACTGGAAAGCATAATATTCATAAATTATTTTACTAATTTATTTATAACATTATAGAGAAAAATGATAAATAGACTAATCATTAGTAAATGATAAATTATTTCATTATTACGAGTAAATTAAAGAAAATAATAAAAATGGAGTAATTTTTTTGGAGTTTATAAAACTAGTGTATAGATGTCGTTAAAATATTTTTTGAATACTAGTGGTTATTTATTTTGAAATAAATAAACAAAATGTTGTTTAATTAATTTCATTTTATTTATTTTGTATTTTTATAATTATAAATTTTTTAAATTTTAAATTAAAAGAATAAAAAACTTTGAAAAGTCTAAATTATCCTGCTACGAGAGTCAATCAAATCATAGAACGAATTGTTAATTTATTTAATATTTTTTATTATAAAAAACGTCAATATGACGATGCATTAGACATTCATTCAAAATGAAAAAGAGATTGACACTCTATAAATCGTTAAAACAATGCAAAGGATAATGAAAACAGAGTATATATATATATATATATAGTTTTATTTTTTTTTATACGTTTTTTTCTTTTTTTACAAATCACAGAGAATCTCTAATTTGTAATTTTCTCTCGTCGATACATTATTTGAACAAAATTTTTGAAATAAAATATATATAGAATATATATACATATATTTCCATTTCCATCTACATTTTCAATTATTTATTTTTTATTTAATGAAGCAATAGCATTAACACACAATTTATTTATTATCTGAATCTATAAATATCAGCAGAAATATCATTAATATCTAAGAAAAATTTACATCAATTGTATCTATGGATAATTATAGTACATTAAAAAAGCGAATAATGATCGCGTGATAGTTTTTTAATTTAAATTATGTATATACACGAGCAATTCATCCTATCCACGCGAATTTTGTTCAGCAAATCACATTTATCTACGTAACATTAATACAATCCTACGTACACGAGAGCAAGTAACTGATACATAAACAGGAATTCATAACACTTATCTCATTGTTTGACATTAGATACATACATTACATACAATTTGTCATAAGAATTACTAAAATTATTTCAATGGAACGTTTTTTAATTTTTTCCTTCTTTAATCTGTATATTATGTTTCTTCCTTTGTGTAACTTCACAAAATAGTTGGTATTTACAACTGCCAATACAATCAGTAAATTATATAAACCTCGTGTGCACTATATAATAGTCTTCTAACCATGGAAGATAATCGTATTTGCTATACAGTGATACATGATACATACATACATAATTAAACATTTGTCACGTTTATTATATGTTTCATAAAGTTAGTCCTATTAATTAATCATATCAATTAATTTATGTATAGCTATCGAGTTTACATATAGATTTCCCTGAGACTGATTATAACAATTTAAATTTCCTCTTTCTTCTAGATGAAATGATGATTATTATTTTAATCGTATTTTTTGCTACAGCGAAGCAATAATGATAATTACAATAGTTTTTATTTTCGTTATAATTACAAGCTTGCGAAATAATTACATTTCAACTAGAGCTTTTTTGCAGTCATTAAATGAAATTTTTAATTGACATTGAAGTAAAGTCTATAAGTACATGAGAAAAATTGATAAAAAATTTTTTTTCGATAAAATTATTAATAAATTTATTGTATAATACAAGGGTCTTACTGTCATTAAACATAAGTCGTAACAACACGCGACCAATAATAAAATTCCTGCGCAAACACTTTCAATAAAAGCTGTTAACTTTATTGCACAATAAATATTTTACGGATCAATAAAAACATTATGAATTAATCAATAATTGAATTAATTGGTTTAAAATCAACAGTTTTTTTCAATAAAAAGTATTAAATGTAAAATATTTAAACTGTCGAATTGCACTTCCCAATTTATAAATGCCGCGTTGCACCGAAATTAACATATAAAACACTTGATTAGTCGTTATTAAAATATCTAATAATAATTGCATTATTTACTCAATTATTTAAGAAATACAATTTCAACCTATTATAAATAATAATTGTTGGGTAACATTGGTTATAGTAGTGGTTTTATTTACCCCTTATCTTTCTGATCCTTCACGAAATAACAACCCACGGTCGCTGTTATGATAAAAAGATTTATCATTGTCCTTTTATGATTACAATTAACATTTTATTTTATTTATAGTTATCTGTATTTATATATCCATATTTATATTGCCACAATTACCCAATAAATTTGTCAATCTTTCTTCATTTATCAATAAAATTTATTTATTTATCACCAAAGGAGTTTCTAGCAAATCTTTTTATAATAACATTTACGTGAGTTCTATTGTCATAGCGGCAGTTTTTCTCTAATGAAAGCGTTAGATTAAAATTCTTAATTAATCAGCCGCCGAGGCATATAATGTTAGATCATTATTATAATATTAAAAATTACAATTTTTCCAATAAATATTCTCGAACAATTTCAAGTCGCTGTTGTTGATACTTAACTATTTATTAATTACCAACTATTCATTCATTATTTGACACTCGGAGTAATTACATTGCACCTTCTTATTGTTTCCTAATTTCTTTTGCACCATTTACTCTAAATCATTACAGAAAATTATATAAATAAAATAAAATAAATATCAATTTACATAATAAAAACATAACTAAAAGACATTTGAATGTCGCATTATTGAAAGTTCTTAATTAATCACTATCGCAGTTTATTACTATAATTAATTGAATTATTTTAAAAGTAATCCTATGAGCTATTTTTTTTTCAACTTGTCACGCTTCAATGTTTCTTTAAATAGAGCTTTATTCACGGATTTAACTTTAGATTTTCCCGAAATCGATGTCGAAGGCGTACTTTGAAGAGATGAACTCTCCAATGACGCCTCCTGTCACCTCAAATTGATCACAACCTTTTCGACGTTTAACAGTGACCTAACTTTATCGTTGTATTGAATAAAACTTATTTTGGAGCTCCGTACATTTATTTTTTGACCAGCATTTGCTACATGACAGCATTTTACAAATTCGAAAAATTCTTCGAGTGTAAATTCCTTATAGATACTATGATGTACAATTCCGGGGGGCCCCATTGGTGCTTTTGGATTCAATTGTTTCAATAAAGCATCACGACTCTTTATTTTTAAAGCAGCCATCAAATCTTGGGTAAGCACCCACTTTTCGTCGGAGAAGCAAATATGATAGAGAACAGGAAGATTAGTTTCGCTTACTTCTATCTCTATTTCATCAAGTTCTGATTCTGGGCTGTCAGGTGAAGGAGCATCATCCAAAGGATTAAATCCATTCTCCTTGGGATCTATTAAATAAGAAACGAAAAGAAGATTATTAATACTATGAAAACATTTATACTCTTCATTAATTGATACAAATCTTATATGAGATATTTTTTACATTATAATTGATAAAACTGTTGAAGTTGGTGTATAAAAAATGATAATTATTTCATTATCTTTATAAAACTATTACTTAATCACGGGTAATTGTAATTCACAAGATAGAGAAAAATCATTAATCATCTTAATTAAAAAATTCAAAGACTTCAATACAATGTAACACACCTTTTCAACACCAACAATCTCAGGGAAATACATAAAATTCTGTTGAACTTTTTTTATAATTACTTGCTAATTGCAACAATAAATATAATAGTCACTTAAAATTACTGTCATGAAATGTGTGCGATCTTTTATTCAATTATTTTTTTAACATAAATGAATACTACATCTTTGGTCTGTTTAATAATGCTTCAAAATATGCGGAAACGTGCTTAAGAAAAGGAATATCACATAAATTACTTGGAATGTATGTAGGTTAAAAGTAATAAATGACTTTCAGACTCTAATTTACATTAAAATGCTTCTACCCAAAAAAGGAAAATATTTTTGTTCTCAGAAAAAATAGGGAGCAGGGGAATTAAGTGAGTGATTAACTTACCAAATATGGAAGAAGGGCCGCCGAAACTCCAAGGAACACTTGAACGGCCTTGAATGTCATCCAAATGCTGCTTGAGAAGTAGATGAGCATCTGTATCCACGGCCAACAATAATGGTGTTTGACCGGCATAAGTTGCTAATAATGGATCAGCACCATATGAAAGTAGAAGTCTTACAAGTTCAGTAGCACCATTTTCTGCGGCTTCATGAAGAGGTCTGCAAAATATAATATTGATTATTTGGTCATTTTCAAACTTTTATCTTCACGTCTTAAATCACTTTTATTGATTTTAAGTAAATGAAATGAAAATTTAATTAATAAAGTTAAAAATAGAAAAGTTAAATTTTGTACTCAGTTAGAATCTAAAATATTCTAAAATTACCTTATTCCACCATTTGCGCTTTCACTAACATTAGCTCCATATGCAAGTAAAAGTTTAGCAATTTCTAAGTGTCCTTTAGCGCAAGCTTCATGAAGTGGAGTATATCCGGCATTATCTTTGGGACTTGGAGGACTGTTTAACTTTTCTAAACAGTATGCAGTAACATCCTGTCATAAAATGAGAGAAAAAAAAATAAATTCATGATATTTTAATTAACTTAAATAATTGAAAATAGAAATTATCTTAGCGAAGATAATGAGTAAAATGCTTACAGCATAACCAAGTCTTGCAGCACGGTGTAGAATAGTTTCTCCAACTCCTTTCTTAATAACCCAAGTTCTGATTTCTGACTGGATATCTGCAACGCACTCAGCATTCGGTCGTGTGATCGTCTGTTGGAGTTAGAAAATTATTTAATTAAATTTTGAGAATAACAACAAATTCTGGAATGTAAATAAAAACATAAAAAAGCAAATTACCTTTTTCCGTTCTTTTAATGTTGTTTCATCCTTTTTTAACGGTTTTTTCTTCTTACGAATGTAATCAAATCCGGAGCGAAATTTCCGACGTCCAGTGCGCAATTTAAGTTTCTTTTTACTCGATATCTCCGTTCCATCGTTATTATTATCGACATTAGGTTCATTCACTTCCGTTTCATCTTCATCTTGTTCGTCATCCTCCTCATCTTGCGCAACTTCTTCTTCCTCAACTTCCGGTTCTTTCTTTAAATTCTGTAATTTCTTCTCCGTCAGTGATTTCAATAAATATTTCCGTCTTTGAGCAGTTAAAAAATGTCGTTTAGAATTAAGAATAGCCTTATTACTTCTCAAAATACCGACATTTCTTAATCGATTAACAACCTTCTGTTTTAATGTCTTAGTTCTACCTAATATAATGTCTTTAGTTTCCGTTTGAGAATCATCATCTTGCGAGGTATCACCAGCATGATTTTGCATAGGAGGAGCTGATGCTGGACGATCTTCACCGAATACTTCTCTTATAGTAGCTTCTTTCTTCATCACCCTTGTCTCTGTTCTTGTTCTACTTTTGAGAACGTACGTTGAAAATTCATTAGGCAGTGCGTAATTATTTTTAAATGTATCTCTAAAATTATTAACAGTCTCTTTACGGAAATAGCCTAGCAGATAAGAATCTGGTGCATTAATTAGCTTGGATGATTTATTATTTTTCATCGGTATTCTTCCCTTAGCCTTAGATGGACTATCATTTTTTAAAAGTGGAGTAAAACTCGGAGTTGGCAACAGTTCCGGTTCATTACTACCCTTCGGCAATACTTTATTGCCACTTTTTTCAAACTTATCTTTCACTTTTTTCTTACCATCTTTTTTGCTGTTACCTCCGACTTTTCGAGCTAGCAGATCAACAATAGAGTTCGACTCAGATCTTGTTTGTCTTGAACTTGTCGTTTTGGGAGGACATGATATGGTAGTAGATGAAGTGGCTTCTTCATCATCGATTTTACTACCTAATCCACTTCCAACAATACTGAAACTGTAATTAGAGTCGAGATCACTATCAGCAGTACGTTTTCGCAGACAAACATCTGAACTATCCATCGACACAGAAAGTGCCGGGGAGTCGGGATCTAAATCTGGTAGAGACGTTGATAATCGGTGGAATCTAGATGGCTTTGAGACGCTTATTAAACGTGGAGGCATTCTTAATGATTTTTTATATACATATACTTCTTCTTCCCAACCCGGTCTAAAATCACTTCCATCACCAAACAATGGCTTAGGTTTCGGTTTTTGAGATGAATTATTTTTTGCCGGAGTTTTTGGAGTCTTTTCCTCTTTTGTCTTGACTCCTGTGTCTCTTGAACGTAATTTCATACCTTCATTCTCTCCAGCTCCTCCAATACCAGATCGTTTTCGAGCCCGTAATCTATGAGCTACTGAAGATCCTTTAGGAATTTCTACACTACCATCACTATCATCCCCACTAGAAGATTCACTTGCACTTGATGATTCTAATTTAATTCTACTTCCTCTTCGAATCTGTCGTTTTTTAACTATTATTTCTTCATCTATATCACTATCATCTTTCTTTCCTTTCTTTTTATTTACACGTTTTACAGGATTAAATTCTTCAGATTCATCATCAGAATTATTGCCATTTCTTTCATCATCTTCTACCTCTTCATCCTCTTTTTCGTCTTCTTCCTCTTCCTCTTCCACCTCCGCTTCCTTCTCATGTTTCTCTTCCTCTATTTCTTCCTCTTCTTCTACCTCTTGTTTTGGTTTCACATCTGTGTTTGATTTTGTTGCATCACCCAAATCATTTTTACTAGTCTTTGTCTCATCAACAGGTTCCTTAACATTTTTATTAACTATCTCATCATCATTTATTCCTTTTTTAATTTCTTCAGTTTTAATTATTATATCTGAAAGCCGAGAATTACTGTCTTTACTTTCATCGTCAACATCATCAGACTTTAAATTATCACCCATTTTTCTTTTACGCCCACGTTTCTTTACAGCATCACCACTTCTCAATTGTTCCATAAATTTATCACAGGTTGCTGACCACAAAGGATCCACTTCAGTAATATTGTCATTCTCCTTAAGCTCTATTTTAACGAGATCATTGCACGATGTCATTCCTATACACATAGCATCATCAAGAGGTACAGGCGGTTGAACTTTCGACAATTGTTTCCGGTCTCTTCGCATCTCTTCGAGTGTTTGCCGTTCAAGGACCGGCATTTCTCCTTCGGAGTCACTATCACGAAAATCGAACACTGAGGTTTCTGAGGAACTACGGAAGCCACTTGTTCTTGCAGCTATTACAGATGCTACTACAGGGATTGGAGCTGCTGCTGGCGTTGTTGCGGCGACAGGCATATTTTCTTCTTCACACCGCGAAAATAATCTACGTCGAGGAGGTAAACATGCGGCTTTCTCGCAAGTTAATTTTGGCGGACTGCCTGCTGATGAAGCTATCGACTGTGGAGTAGACGTTGAAGCCACGCGTTCAAAGTCTGCAATAGAAATTTTTACAATAATTAATTAAGTACTTTATAATTTAATTTACTTCTACAAAATTGGTTAATTAATACCGTCAAAAACTTTTCTTTTTAACTGATAAACAGTTAATTATTTAATTTATTACAGGAAATAATTTCAAATGAAAAATAGTTTATCCAATAAATATTTTAACTGTATTGTTGACATTAAATATAAATTATGTCTTTATTAATAATCTATTTAGCATGATAATACTAATTATTAATTCATTAATTTTACAATGAATTTAAATTTGATCTAGCTGGAACTAAATTTAAACAGCCTTATAATGTTTAACGTTACAAACATAATTTCATTAATCAATACTTTAAAGATCACATTAAAAACAAATGCATTTATGTTATCAATACTATGCATAATATTATATTAATATAAATATTTATAATTTATTTATCAATTATAAAAGAATAAAATTCATAATTGAATGCATTTATTGATTAATGGAATAAATTAAACAAACCAAACATTGAATATCCTTGTGACAAAGGACAATATAATAAAGGTAATTCAATTAATTAACATTTTAATGATAACATTAAGAGACTTATGATATTTTCTATTATCAATAATGCATATAATATCATGCTAATAATAATCATTAATTTATTCATCATATGAAATGCACATCACAAACTCTTACCGCTTGGCGTTGCGGATATATCTTGTGAAGATAGTGACACCGGTTTCGAAGTAAACTGACCAGTTCCAACCTGTATAAAAACAAAAGAAAAATGTCAGTTAAAACGAATAAAAATCCAAGATAGTAATGAATACCAGAAAGTCAATAAATACCTGTTTCAACTCGGCCTTAGTGCGAATCTTGGCTGCTAGAATGGCTGCAAGGCTATCATCCTTATCACGATGAATTTGATTCTCAAGTTCTCGTGGAGCCAGCAGTGCCTCCTTGCCTGCTGGTAGCGTAGCAGATGAGTTTACTCTTGAGGCATACAAGCTACGGGGGGTTTCTTGAGTGATAGAGTCTACCGCCCTCGGCACATGGAACTTGTAATGCGGTGGAGTATTGCTGTTACGCTCTAACAAACTTGCTGCAGTAAACGGCGAGAGATTGTGTCTACCAATGTTAGTCTTTGGCTCTACTGGCGCTACGACCTAAAATACATATTAACAATTAGCATTTAAAATAATTATTTACATTTTAAATTGTTGTTAGATTTATTGTTTGAGATGAGGTTGAAATGATTTTACTTTAATCAATTTAATGATGAGAAAATGATTTTAAATACATTCAAAACATAAATAAGAATCGAGTATCAAGTGAAGTTTAGATGTTAAAACCTTTTTCTGGGTTTTAATCATGGAATATTTGAACTAATCATTTATTGATAAAAACTTTTTCCAATGGAAGAAAGTTTTGATCTGATAAGGTAATAATAAAAGTCATTAACACAGCTAAGTAAATATTGATGTTAAAATAGTGAGATTATCAGATTTATAAAATGTTTAAATGTTGTTTTATACTTTTTATTTTATAATTGTCGTGAGAATAAGTACTCTAAAAACACGACGATCTTAATGATATAAATGTAGGTAATTAAATACAGCAAACTAGGATAAAAGGGTTAGAAATATAATTAAAGATTTTTTACTTAAAAAGAAATGGTTTCATGTCAGTAATTCTTTCAAGAGATATTGAAATTACTTTGATCAATATTTTCAATTTAAACTCTACGTTCTAATTATCTTACAGCATTAAGTTATTGGATCAAATATTTTATTGGTAATAATAATTTGCTTCTTTAAATAATACCTAACAAAGCTATTCGCAATCTGAAGCAATCTATTAGTAATTATAGTTCTTGTAAATATCAATTCAAGATACGTTTCAAAAATATTTTTTATCTTTAGGCTATATAATCTTAAAGATTAATTGTTTTATGCTCGTTAATTAACATCGTTGACTATTACATCTAATAAATGACACTACTTTTTATGATTTGAGAAAAAACTACTGAAATTATTTTATAAGTCAACACAAAATTTTTAAAGAAGTATTTTATACATGAATTTAAACGAGGTCTTTATCATCATGCATCCCCTTTAAATTTTAACTCGCTGCTAATTCTACATTAAGTCAATTAACAAAGTGATTATTTATTTTGTTTTTCTTTTTGTTCATTAAAGTGGATGTATTTATTACCAGATAAGTATCATCAAAACCATAATAACAAGTTTTTTATGGATACAAACCAAGTAATAGGTCAGATGAGATAAAATTTTATATTTTCGAATTTAAAGGAAAGAATATTGATTATTTTAAGAGCAAACAGATAAAGTATCGAAATTCATCGGGTGATAAGTAAATGTATTTAGAAGAAGAAAGTTTAGGGAATGTTATGTTGAACTTACTTTATTTTGGAAGCTTTGCTGGCTGTGATTAACCAAAATAGGTTGCTGACTGTTAAGTTGTTCTTCTCTTTGCTGTTTATTTTCTAAACTATTTCTGAGTAAACTAAGAACTCTTTTATCAGCACCAGTATTACTTGGTTGATCTAACGGTTGAGTACTATAAGGTGATCTCGGAGGTTGTCGGTAGCCAGGAGGATAAGCCACTTGACTAGTTGTCGGTTGTCCTGTCGACAGTGAAGCACCAGTTGACTTTTCATTCGAATGAATGTAGGATCCAGAGTCTAGAGAGATCTTGGACTCCGGGTAAGTCCGTTTATCACAGAAAGCTGGATGTCTTTTAGGAGTTGGAGAGCAAGGATTGTCCCTCTGGTTAAACGAAGACGGTGAAACCAATGTTCCATTTGGCATTGCCCGTGGCAAGGTCATCTCATGCCTCTTTTGTTGTTCATGAAGCACACGAGCTGCTTCAAGTTTTTGTTGGATTTCTTTGTCAATGGCTAGCTTCCAATTATCTACACGTGGTTGTTTGCTTGGTTCACTACCACCAGCCATATAAATGGGCTCGCTTGGACGCTTTAATGCAACACGATCTCTCGCTTGTGGAATCGAATGTTTACCTCTACTATCCAAATAATACTTATTAATGTCAGATGGATACTCATGCACTGGCAGTGTTGGTCTAGCTGGATCCATTGATGAGTATCGCGATGTTGGACGTATGTTGGTCATTTCACTTGCTGACGGATACGACATTTTATTATTATACAATGGAGTGTTAGGCAGTGAAGATTTTTTGAATGTCGACATGTGAGGTAATGGCATTGAATTCGAATTCTGCAGTGTTGGCGTCGATGGGACATAAAGTTTTTGTGAACTACTACGTCTAAGAGGATTTTCGACATGATTTGGCTGGCTTGGCGGATGATGTCGAACTGGTGTCGAGTTGAAATTGGGAAGAAAGTCAACTTTAGGTGCACAAACTGGCATTTGTGGAGTCGACGGTCGTAAATTCGCAGCCATTGGATTTCTCACATTATTCCTCGAGTCGTACGTGACGTAAGGAACATCGGCTGGTTGAACAGGTGGTGGGGGCATACTCCTACTGATTCTTGAATTGCCTACACTTGAGCTGACTTGCTTATCCGCAGATCCATTATCCAAGTCGTCACGAGCGGTAGAGTCAGCTGAAGTCTTGATTGTTTTGACTGACAAGTCCAGTGGTGACTCTCGTTTTCTCAAAGGTAATCCATTGACCTGAGGAGGCGTTGGAGAAACTCTCGAAACAGGTTGGCTCGGTTGACTTATTACCGATGAAGAATTTGAGTATAAATAATCCTTATATCCCGGATTATGGTTATTATTAGGAGGCTGTGATGATGGATATGATCGATTATTTGAATCGGAAGACGTTCGTGCATGAACTGTGACGGCAGTTGATGCAGCAGGTCGACTGTCTGAGTTAATCGATGTAACGGTTGTAGTACTAGAAGAATTACTGTGATGACTGGGAGCTACAGTTGTTGCATAATTCCGATGGCTCATTTGCGCACTGTAACCGGAAGTCGTGGTAGCTGTCGAGTGATTACCATACGAAGTATTAAGCGTATAATCTGGAGCTCTGCTAGTATGAACAGACATAGTAGAGTGCGATACACCTGACGAACTTCTAGGTACGATAATCGATGGTGTTCGATGTCTCAATAGTGACTGTGTTTTACCTACTGCTTCACGCGAACTTTTGTTGGAATGATAGGATGACACCGCAGTAATTGGTAAATTGTGCGTATTAGAATTCCTTTGAACTGCTGATGGCATTCTATATGAATTATAGGAGTTGATTTGGTTTGTAGAAAAGCTGCTTCTCTTCGGATCAGCGCCATTGTGTACAGTAGGCTTAGTCGGTGGCGGAAGATAAGAGATCCCATTGATGTGATTACTAGCGTTCGATGGTGGCAGCGGTGGAGGTGGTGGCAATGGCGGTGGTATTGATGACGGTACTGGAGATTGCCCGTATTGTGATCTAGATGCTTGTGGATAAACTCCACTTTGCATACTCTTCTGGTACGAATGGTATGAAGACTGATGTGGTGGATACACATTTGGATAACTAGCTGCAGGTCGATGATGCTGAGCTACTGCTGTAATGCCATACGGATGCGCTGATGGCCGAGTAGGGAGAGGGGGAGGAGGATATGTGGGAGAGTGGGGTTGAAAGTTAGCAGTTGTATGTGGGGAAGGATTGTGATGAGGTGAAGGTGTATGATGAGGTGAGGGTGTGTGATGGGGCGAGGGAGTATGATGAGGGGAAATAGCATGTGGATTGTGCACAATTGGAACGTGCGGTGATTGTCTCTGTGGTGATGGACTTGCATGATGATTCAATTCGTGAGGTGAAGCTGTTGGATGATAATTTGACGATGATGACTGTGGTGGTGGCATTTGTTGTTGACTCATCGCTGAATTATGAGAAGAGTGAGAACTAGGGTACGGGTTCGTCACTCGACTCGAATAAGAAGTCATTTCATGAGAGGATGTATTTATCCGATTAGAATGTTGTTGAATCGGATGTTGCTGAGGTGCATGATGTTGCTGTTGAGAAGATGGTGGTGGTTGTTGTTGATATTGCTGTTGTTGTTGTTGTTGTTGTGGAGGTGGTGGTTGAGCTAAAGGTTGCTGTTGATGGTGCTGATGTGATGGTGGATGTTCTTGCTGTTGAGGTACTGCATGAATTGAAGATAGCGATGATGGAGGTGGTACAGAAGCTACCGGTAAATGTGGCGACGTAATATGTCCAGGATGGTTGTGGGGAGACTGAATATAACTCTGACCAGTGTGTCGAGGACTGCAAGGATTATTCGATGATGCTGGAACAGAATGGACACTCGTGCCATCAGCTGGATGACGCAATTGTTGCATTTGAGTTTGAGAATTTGAAAATCCACTTGGACGGCTCGGTTGCTCATGATTATTTATGGCTGGATACACCGGATAAACATTTGCAGTTTGTGACTGTGGCTGTTGATCTTGTTGATTTGTTGATCGATGTGATAAAGCGACAGAATTATCTTGCTCTGGAGGATTAGTTCGAGTCGCGACAGGTTGATGTGGAGTGGTTGACGATGATGTTGACGTCGTTGGCTGTGGTGTTTGATAAACAGAATTTTGCGAAAAGGGCGCTGGAGCACTCTTTGTAATATCCGGATGATGATATCTAGGATAATACTGAGTTCTCTGAGTAATAGGAGATGAAGTGGGACGTTCATTTGGCTGATAAGTCGAGTGTGAATTGAGCATGTCAGATGCTCGATAAGCTGAAGATCTTGGTACGTTATTTAATTGTTGATAGACTGGAGGAGAATGTGGTTTCAGTGGCGGTTCCATTTGGTGTATCACTGGAGACGGATTAATGACAGAATTGACATTCTGCTGGTCCTGTCTCTGAGATTGGGGCCTACTTGGTGGTTGCATCTCTGTCAAACTAATCCCAGGACTGCCGTTATGCTCGGGTCTATCGTCAGGCCTGGTGTCTGGTACTTCGACTCGCGTCGGTTGCGGAGGATATGGCTCGATTGTACGTAGCTCATTTGAACCGCTTGAGTTCCAATACGAGTCATTAAGGTGACTGTTATCTCTGTTATCAGATTTATTCTCATCATACCTTGTGTCATTGGTAGCCGGCGTTGCGGCTTTTGTCTGGCTATTATAGCCATCGTTTTCAGTCGAACCAGACCCAACGTTCACACTTGGCGCGGGCAGTCCCTGAAAATACTGGCGAGCCCCCTCCAATACGTTCGTAAAACTTACATCCATGTCACGCCAACTCACGAATCTGTAACATCAAAGAAAGAGAAATGATTTCAGTTAGTTGGTTTAATAAATGAAAAATCAATTATTTGATAAATTATTTGAATAAATATAGGATAATTATCAATTAAACATCATGAATATGTAAGTCAGATCGTACAAGTTGTAAATTTAGGATAAAGTAAGTGGAACAAGTGGAAAATAGACACGAGCATATACATAATGAAATCGATTGAGCTGGAATCACTGGGGTCAGCTATATAGTAGATGCTCACGAGGTGCTGCCGAAAGATAGTTTCTCACGAGACAGATAACGGTGCCACGATCGCGTCAGGCAACATTAATCTTCATCCTCTTGTATTTGTCTTGTCGTGTTCACGCAAGCTCTTTCCTTCACTCAGATATGTCTTTCTCATTCTCCCTTTACTTCTCACTTGATTTGCTCCCCTTTAGTACTTGGGTCAGAATTTTGTTTTATTAATCTCCTCGCTACTGGATCAAAAATTACATCGTCTTTCAAATTACCAACGTTTAAATAGTCAAACCATAAAGTCGTAAAATGAAAAATAGCATCCCATGAACTGCTCAACTTGAACGTTCATAAAAGGAATTTAATTTCAGTTTGAAGGCGAGCTTGAATACTTTTGAAAAGATTTTAATCTTTCCATTTTAATACACAATCTGCTTAATGTCTTTCAAAACTCAAAAGCTTAATAATATCACTGAATGCATGTTCAGTATAAACAAATTACTTTGTAATCAAGTTATGAAAAATACTCTTAACTACTCAAGCTTTTTCCTTTCATGTAATTAAAAATTTTCCACTGTGTAAAGTACTTTCATTTTGTGTATTTTACCAAGTATATTTTGCATACTTTCGTTTCTTTCTTTTCTATTTTCTCTTTGTTGTAAATACATACAAGGTAATTCCACTACAAACTATAGTGTCACGACTTGCTAAACATTCACTTTGACCTTAACATACTGAACTTATGATTGCTTTATACGGTATTTAATCAGTTTATTTTATCCATGTATTTTATACATTTATACCCAATACAATACTGACGACAGTTTATAAAACGGGTTTTATAACTGATACCTATGAATGCAATATCTTTTATGGCTATAAACATGGTAAATTAATTAATTACTAATATTAATGGTTGAAATGAAAGAAATGAGGAGGAATGTGAATTAATGGAATAATCAGTTTTATCAAAACTGAAGTGAATCCAAGTTCTGATGCTCTTGAATTTAATTTACCATAAACTGATGTAAAATAATTGCAACAATTTAGCAGAAGATTTTTTATTATTAACAAAAGATTATGAATAAATTTAATACATCCATTTTAATCGACTTTTAATCTGAACATAAAATTTAGTTCATATTTGTTGATTGTCGACAGCTGTGTCTTTATGGGGAGTAATCAAATTTTGATGAATGATAGCTCATGTTGAAGCTTGTCATATTCACTTTAAAAATTTGTCATTAAGAAAGATTTTAATACCACTTAGTTTCAAAGCAAAAAATGAGGAAGAGAAGATAGTTATTGTTAGTGTATAGATACTTTTATAAATTAGTTCACTAGTATTTTATCTTACAATATTTTTTATTTAATTATTGTTTCGAGTTTATTGAAAAAAATCGTTGAATTTTCTTAAAGCTCTATTTATTCTACAAACTTTTTAAATCACAAAACTTGTAAAAAATAGTTCTTAAACACGATATCGATTACACCTAAATATAAGCATTTTTTCAAAACTAACTTCTCTAAAGTAAAACAAATGATTCACTAGAAGAACGAAATAGTAAAAAAAAAATTTCGACAGCTCGATTTTTCTTACGTTTCAATAACGGTGTATCAAGCTGCCAATCGTGTTGCGGTTTATTGAGACGTAAAGTCAGTCCGCAACGAGTAAAGAAATATCCCGTTCATATCAAAAAGAATAATAAGTGATAAAAAAGTGAAACCAAAGAATATAAAAAAAATGAAAAGTTACGATAAAGGGTGTAGAGAATATAAAAATACGCTTGCAAAAAGTCAATATGATTCTGGAGAAAAATTCTCAGAGGTACTCTTCGAAGCAATAGAAATTTGATAAGAATAACGAAATTTAAATACGAAAATATATAGAATATTGTAAGAAATTTCAATGCTTGGTTCAAACAATTACCGGAAATTACTAAGAATTTCCAATTATTTGAAAAGTCTCATGATGATGGAAAATACTAGAGAACAATTTCAACAACTCAATAGTATAACGAGCATCGACAGTTTGGACTGTCTGACTTGGTATAAAAATAAAGGAATAACCTAAGAGAGAAGATCTCTCTCTCAATTTGGCACAGAAATATCAAGCTCCGGTCTACGGGGAAATCAACGAAAAAAATACAAAAATTATTGGAAAAACACAATGAACAAGACTATATATTTAATTTGCAACTACTGATTGACACTTTTGCAATTGTTGTTTAAATAGTGTTTGATAATGATAGATCACCTGTTATAAAAAATTTTTTATCAACATGACCGATAATTATTTGATAATAGTGATAATGAATGAATCAATCAATTTAATATTATTGATATTTAATTTTATTTAAAATTTCACAACATTTTGTTATAATATTAACAGTCAAAAAGATCAAATATCTCCATATTTCGATCCTAAATTGGTTCGTTTGAATGATAAATCAAGTTTTCATTTATTTGAAGTGATCCAATAGAGTTTAATTTTCTCTCTGTAAACTTTAGAAATATAAAAGTGAAGCAGCTTGAAAAAAATCATATCAATTTGCTGATAATTGAAGAACTTTAATTTATCAAAAATTAAAAATAGTTACGAGATTTCATGTTGGTATGAAAGATAGATAATAGTCATGTAGATTTATTTATAATTTTTTTGGCTAATTATTATTTGTGGCTATAGGAAATTTGTTTTAGTTTAATTAACAAAATTGGTTAAGTGAGAAAATGTTAGCTTTTTTATAGCTGTGAATCATAACATCGAGTTTTAAATTGACGTAGAGAAAGTCTCAATAGAAGAACTAAAATACAAGTTTATGACAGTTTGAATGCAGTTTTTTACAGTATCGCGTGACAAGTTTTATTTTTCTCTAAACATCAATCTTTGACATTGCTTTTTCAATCAATGAATCATAGCTTTTATTTACATTTCTAATTAGAAAAAAAAATTTTTTTGATTGCTTTAAGGTTTAATTTTTTTCGTTTGAACTTTTTTAAAATATCAAAAGTCAATTTAGAAAACAAGTTTACCAAAAAATTATTTTTGTGTTTCGTTAATAACTTTTCATTTTTTTATGTTTTGCTTTTCATCAATAAAGTTTATTGCCTTTTTGACGTGACTTTTTGTTTAACAGAATTTCTTTAACAAAAATTAAAAATAAAAAATCTATTGTTAGTGCATTGCTAATCTTAGTGCTTTATTTTAATGCACTTCATGTATTTTAATATGATTTCATTTATTTAATTAGCATTATAGTTACTTTTTAAACACGTTCAAGTGCATTAATAGTAACTACAATGTTAATCAAATGGTTGACGTCATCTTAAAACACTTTTAATGTATTAAAATTAAACACTTCCAAATTTGACATTTGTAGTGAGTGCAAACATTTGACGCTAATTATAACGATAAGTAGATCATAACTCTAAACGAAATTCATTTATATAACCACCATGAACTTAGAGATTGAACGATTGTTAGTTAGAACAATGGTAAAAATGAGTTGGTCCAGACAACTTTGAATGTATACTCAAGTATCGCAATAAGACTAATGGAAATGGAAGATGTCCACAAACTCTAGTAAACTTTCTCTGACCCACTCTAGCTAGCATCAAGTTGTAGCTGCAGTTTCTAGACATCATAATCAACATGGAGAATTAACTGAAATCATCCAACAACTACTTCAGTCACATAAATACGATAAATGTAAATACATTAATGCAAACTTTAGAATTAAAGTATTCCTTCTATAAAACTCTTATTGCAAATCTCAAATGTAAAACAATGAATGCCGTTTATTTATTCCATAAATATATTCCACTTGACAACAGACTAGTTATGCAAAGTCTGCTACAGTGTTAAGTTAATCATAAAGCTTGATTTTATATATACCTCTTAAACCTCTTGTTGTCCGTATATAGAATAACGACCCTCTTGAGACTAAACGTGCCCTACGTGGCAATAGGGTTACGAAAGTAAAATTTAAGAAAACTGTCAAAAAAATTAAATAAAAAACAAAATTCAAGAAAATTATGGAATATTATTCACAAAATTTTTCATCAGAAAAAAAATTAAAATTCAAGGGCTGAAAAAGAGGTCTTTTTCATGAAATTAATTCTCTTTGTTTCTTTACTAATTTCATTTCGACAAAAATCCTCTCTAATTTTTTTTATTATTCAATAAACAAATTATTCTAATCTAAACTCACTTTTAAAACCAACAAACTCACACCTTCATTAATGATATCTTTTTTTTCTAGTGATACACAAACGTGTGTACTGTAATAAAAAAGAGAGAAAAAAGATAACTACTAGAGTCCATTATCCATCTATTTACTCATCCTTGTTATTTATTTCCATTCATTTACTGGAAAGCCTTGAAACACATTCTCCACACAACTGCCTCTAAACTACTGTTGAAACATTGAAAAGCCACTCAAGGTCTCATTGAGCAATTTTGCATGCATTTATTTCGAATAAATATCACCATGCGTTTAAATGATTTTTTTTTTAGAATGCAAGAATGATAATTTTTAAAATCTTTATTGCAAACGTTAGCCTTTTATGTATCTTATAATTTATTCACGAAATCTCTTTTTCAAGTTGTTTACGTCAGTGCCATAAATATTAAGGAATAGATTAACTCGGAATGAAGAAGAAAAAGATATATCAGTATCGCGAAAACAATATTGTTGATCGAGTGTGGAAAATAAATATATGGATCCAATAGTTGTATCTGTATATTTATTGGCTTTTCACACTGCAACACGATG